TTTGCTGGAACAAAAATCTCTTTCTGTCGTTGAGCCCAAAGTAGTTTAACCAAATAGAAAACTAAAGTAATGTTACTTCCCCAACATACCTAAATTCTCTAATCAAAAAGACATATTTTTTTTAAAAAATTTCTCTTTGCCATTTATACCCACTTCTCAAAATTTTCTGAAAATATTTATAAACATTAACCATGTACTTATCTAAGCCATTGAAAAGTATAACAATTTTTTTCTTTGAGTAGTTTCTTTTCTTTTTTTTTTAATTTCAGAATATTACAGGGGTACAAACACTTTGGTTACTTATATTGCCTTTGTACCACCTGAGACACAACTATAAGTGTGCCCATGCCCCAGAAAGTGCTCAGCACCCATTAGGTGTGAATATACCCATTGCCTCTTCCCCTTTCCCACCTGCCCACCCGAATGATTTAAAAATGATCCTAGTAATATAAAGAGATAATTGCACCAGAAAACCTAGGAGAGAATAATTCTTGTGACTGACACCTTCTTCAGCCCTAAGACACCTGCAGATAAAGCAGAGGGAAAATGAGGTGTAGAATACTGGCAATTTTTTTTCTATTGTGTAAGCACTGATGAGTTTTGGTTCAGAATTAATTGGTCACCCAAAATAAAAATTGCCTAGAGAAGTGACTCTCAAATTTTAATGTGCTAACAAATCAGCTGAAAATCTTACCAACAGCAGGTTATGATTCAGAAGGTCTGGGGCCTGAGCATCTGCATTTCCCACTAGATCTCAGATAAAGTTGAAACACAGTAAAATTCTTTTGAAACTTTTACTGTTGGCACAACCATATGACAGTTCAACAAAGCACAATAGCAAAATGTGTTATTCTTTTTAAATATCAAAAGGAAATTATAACCCAAAAGTTGAAGGTAATAAAAGGAAAGCAACTAGCAAATAATCTGAAATTTTAACAACTGAAGTAGTAATGCCTCCTCTCATTCAAAATGCATCCAGACCTACAAGGAGGAATGGGTGTCTATCCTGCAGAAATTATTCCACAACGTCAAGAAGAAAGGAATCCTCCCGAACACATTTTATGAAGCCAACATCACCCTGATACCAAAACCAGGAAAGGATTCAACAAAAAAAAGAAAACTACTGACCAATATCCCTTATGAATATAGATGCAAAAATTCTCAACAAAATCCTAGCAAATGAAATTCAGATGCTTATCAAAAAAATAATCCATTACAACCAAACAGGCTCCATTCCAGAGATGCAGGGATGATTCAACATATGCAAATGTATAAATATAATTCACCACATAAACAGAAGCAAAAACAAAGACCATATGATACTCTCAATAGACACAGAAAAAGCATTCCACAATATTGAGCATCCTTTTATGATGAGAATGCTTAACAAAATAGGCATAGACGGGACTTACCTAAAAATGATACAAACTATATATGACAAACCCACAGCCAACATCATACTGAACAGGAAAAAATTGAAAGCATTCCCGCTTAGAACTGGAACCAGACAAGTTTGCCCTCTAGTACCGCTTCTATTCAACATAGTGCTGGTAGTCTTAGCCAGAGCAATCAGACAAGAGAAGGAAATCAAGGGCATCCTAATGGGAGCAGAAGAGGTAAAACTATTGCTCTTTGCTGATCATATGATCTTATATCTAGAAAACCCCACAGATTCTGCCATGAGACTACTGGAATTGATAAATTCAGCAAAGTCTCAAGTTACAAAATCAATGTACATATCAGTAGGATTCCTATACACCAACAATTGTCAAACTGAGAACCAAATCAAAGACTCGATACCCTTCACAATAGCAACAAAGAAAATAAAATATCTAGGAATATATTTAAGGAGGTAAAAGACCTCTACAGGAAGAACTACAAAATACTGAGAAAGGAAATAGCAGAGGATGTAAACAGGTGGAAAACCATACCATGATCATGGGTTGGCAGAATCAACATTGTTAAAATGTGTATACTATCCAAAGTGATTGACAGATTCAATGTAATCCCTATTATAATACCAACAACATTTTTTGGAGATCTAGAAAAAATAATTCTATCCTTCGCATGGAACCAGAGAAGACCCCATACAGCTAAAATAATCTTAAGCAAAAAAAGAAAGAAAAGAAAAAAAAAATTGGGAGGCATTAGTTTACCAGACTTCAAGCTATGCTGTAAGGCTATAGTAACTAAAATAGCATGGCGCTGGCACAAGAACATAGACATAGACCAATGGAAAAGAACTGAGAACTCAGATATAAAACCATCCTCACATAGCCATTTAATCTTTGACAAAGCAGACAAAAACACATACTGGGGAAAGAATCCTTATTCAATAAATGGTGTTGGGAAAGTTGGATAGCCACATGTAGAAGACTGAAACAGGGTCTGCACCTGTTACCTCTCACAAAATCAACTCATGGTGGATAACAGACTTAAACCTGAGGTGTGAAACATTAAGAATTCTAGAAAAAAATGTTGGAAAAATTCTTATAGACATTGGCCTAGGCAAAGAATTAATGAAGAAAATCACAAAGGCAATAGCAGCAACAACAACAATGAACATATATTAACTTAAAATTTCAAGGATGACTAGTACATAAAATAAATACATAATAGGAATGCCCCTCCCCCCCCCCCACGGAAATCACATAGGCTCAAACAGATTGTGACTCCACCTGTCTGGCAGTATAGTGGACAAAGGAAAGTGAAAAGTGTGTGATTTGAGGATCAAAGTCACTCACAATTATCTTCAAGATTAACAAATTAAAGCTTTCAGCCATGATATGCATTTTGGTCCCAAGAAGGTGGGAGTCACTATATATTTGTTTAATAAGAGAATAAATGAATTAATGTAAAATATGAAACATAGTTCAGAATATCTATAGGCCAGATAGTCTAGGGCTGTGTTCCTTTCAAGCTATGTTATATGAACAGAATTAATGTTTTAAAAATTGAAAATCCACTAGATTATCATTGTCACTGGTACCCATTCTTTATTAACAAGCTTTATTTCTTTTTTTTTAATTTCAGAATATTATGGGGATGCAAACATTTTGGTTACATATAATGCCTTTGCCTCACCCAAGCCAGGGATACAAGTATGGCCTTCCTCTATACAGTGTGCTTTGTATCCATTAGTTGTGAGTTTACCCAATGCTAACACCCCCCTCCCACCTGACTGGCACCCAGTGAATATTAATACCATGTGAGCACCTTAGTGTTGATGATCAGTTAGTACCAATTTGATGGCGAGTATATGTGGTGCTTGTTTTTTCATTATTGTGATACCTCACTTAGAAGGATGGGCTCAAGCTCTATCCAGGATAATATAAGAGGTGCTAGATCATCATTGTTTTTTGTAGTTGAGTACTATTCCATGGTATACATATACCACGTTTTATTAATCCACTCATGTATTGATGGGCACTTGCATTGTTTCCACATCTTTGCAATTGTGAATTTTGCTTACATAAACATTTGAGTACAGATGTCTTTATTATAGAATGTCTTTTTTTCCTTTGGATAGATGCCTAGTAGTGGGGTTGCTGGATCAAAGCATAGTTCTACTTGTAGCTCTTTGAGGTATCTCCATATTACTTTCCACAGGGGTTGTACTAATTTGCAGTCCCACCAGCAGTGTAAGAGTGTTTCAGTCTCTTCACATTCACACCAGCATTTGTTGTTTTGGGACTGTTTGATACAGGCCATTCTCACTGGAGTTAGGTTATATCTCATTGTGGTTTTGATTTGCTTTTCCCTAATGATTAGAGATGTTGAGCACTTTTTTATATGTTTGCTGGCCATTAGTCTGTCTTCTTTTGAAAAGTTTCTGTTCATGTCCTTTGCCCATTTATTGATAGTGTTGTTTTTTTCTTGTTAATTTTCAGTTCTATATAGATTCTTGTTATCAGCCCTTTATTGGATGTGTAGAAAGCAAATATTTTCTCCCATTTTTTAGGTTATCTATTAGCTCTAATGATAATTTCCTAGGCTGTACAGAAACATTTTGATTTGATCAGGCGCTATGTATTTATTTTTGTTGCTGGTGTGATTGGTTTGCGGGTCTTCTTCATAAATTCTTTGCCTAGGGTGATGTCTATAAGAGTTTTCTCAACATTTTCTTCTAGAATTCTTAAACTTTCACATCTTAGGTTTAAGTCTGTTATCCATCATGAGTTGATTTTGCGAGAGGTGAAAAGTGGGGATCCAGTTTCAATCTTCTGCATGTGGTTATATAGTTTTCCTCGCACCATTTATTGAATAGAGATTCTTTTCCTCATGTATATTTTTGTCTGCTTTGTGAAAGATTAAATGACAATATGATGATGGTTTTGTATGTGGGTTCTCAGTCTCGTTCCAAAAGTCTGTATCTTTGTTCTTGTGCCTGTTCCATGCTGTTTTGGTTACTATGGCCTTGTAGTAAAGCTTGAAGGCTGGTAGACTGATGCCTTCCAATTTGTTCTTTTTGCTTAAGATTACTTTGGCTATATGAGTTCTTCTCTGCTTCCATACAAAACATATAATTATTTTTTTCTAGATTTGTAAAGAATGATGATGGTATTTTGATAGGCTATTTCTTTGTTTTAATTGTTTCTCATACAAGCATATTTTAGACTTTCTTTTTAAAATACAGTCTGACAATCTCTGTCATTTAATGGAATATTCAGTCCATTCATATTTAGTATAATGACTAACAGACTTGATATTAATAATTCCACTATATTTAATTGTTATTTATTCTTTTTGTGTTTTTTTTGTTTAACCTTCTTTATTTCTGTAAGATTTTATTATATTTTTCTCTTTGTTAACTTAGAGTTTCATTACCGCTCTCTAATTAGTAACATTTTTCTATTATTTGAAAATAAAATATCAAATATTCTACTTCTCCCCTAATTTTCCCTTTTCCTCAGTTCCACAATTATTCAGATTCTCTGTGAGTATTTTTCTTCTCTGCGTGATTTGGGTTTTTATTTTTATTTTTTTAATTTAACCCACAGGTTATCATCTCCCATTCACTAAGTCCTTCTACTTCATGCTGACATCTGATTGGCAGCTCTGATGTGGGAAAAATAAGTCTCTGAGTGGCAAGAAGGAGAGAAGAAATAAAGGTACTAGAGATATAGGAGTGATCAAAAGGAGGATTGGACTCAATGTACTTCCCAGGGCCTGAACCTCCTGAAGGAGAAACCTGGTAGAGGTAAGGAAGCAGCTATTGTATATCTTTATTTTTTTGAGATTTCCTGAGTTATTGAGCTGAGAACTTATAACCTTCTTCTGACATGAATAGCTGTGTCCTCAAAAATTAAGAAAGAAGGCACACAATTCTTTTATTGCTTTGTTCAGAAAAAAATTGGGGGGGGGGGCAAGGAGAAAGTTCCCAAGTTTTTAATTTGATCTGAAATTAAGATATTTGGCTAATTCAGTTATTACAATTGAAAGCTGCTACTGGAGAACAAATTAGTGGGGGGAAAAAAAGTAAAATGATTAAAATTGCCATACCTCTATCTGTTGATCCTGTGAAATCCTTCACTTCATCCCATATTTCATGCACACAATAGAATCTAAGAGGAGGAGAAGCCCTTTCCCTTGTAGTCCTGGATCAATGGCAGAAATCAGCATCAGTGCTTATAGTGCACCCTCATGGAAGGCATCTGTATATATTGTCTTATTTTATCCTCACAGCAGCCCTTTGAGACAGGTGCTATTTTTGTTTTCATTTCCATCTCAAGTTGCATAATCTTATTCTCAGAGGTTAAATGCTTTACCCCTGAAACAGAAGCCAATAAACAGTCCAGTTGACATTCAGATGAGATATCTGATTGAAAATCATGGGTTCTTTCCAATATACAGCACTGCCAGGAATGGTGTAGCTGCAGCTCCTTTGCTCTGCACTCTTGAAATTATCAGTGAATTCTTCTCCGAAGAATATTTACTAAATAATCTCATTTAGAAAGAAATAGCATCTGGAATAGTTGAACTGCTAACTCAATCAGTTTCATTATTTTCAATGAATACAAGTTAAAGTGGATGAATATTAAAAGCATTGTTTCTTCTGATGTTTGGAATCATGTGACCATGCTCCAGGATCAACACAGTATACAATGTGCAAACCCCCACCCTTAACATTCAGAAAATAATGACTACAAATGATTAAACATGTGACTATCCAGTCTCTATGCTAGATACTTTACATATTTCATTTACTTTACAACCCAATAAAGAAGATATTATTATCTCAACCTACTTATGAGACCCAAGAGGCCCAGAGAAGTTTTGTTCAAGGTCACACAGGCAGAATTTTGGAATTTGATTCCAGGTTTAACCATTAAGGCAACTTTTCCTTTCTTTTTATTCTTGTTCTTATGGTCTTCCTCCTCCTCCTTCTTCTTTTGCTTGCTCATATTTTCTTATTCTTACACATTTCCTTTCCCTTTTCTGGTCCACTCTGTGCAAAGTTCTCTACAGCAATATCATGGAACAAGAAACGGTTTTTTGAAACTCAAAAACTGAGACTAGTGAGAATAATTTGTATCGCAGATGCTGTAGCATATAAAACAAATGCTCCAAATTTAACAATTCTGTTTTCAGGGTCCATATCATGAGCCTACTAGGAGTAATTAATTAAGGAGTAATTAATTAGAAGTAATTAATTTAAGGATCCTAGGAGTAATTAATTTAAAGATCTTTGTGACATGGTAGAATTTTCTGGATAGACTTTAAGGATTTCCATTCCCATACCTATATTTAAATCTGTTCCTGGTGATGAAAATGACGAGAGTACACCTGATTCTTCTGAGACACAAAACTCTACTGATCTCCTGTGTCCACACAGACCTCAAATGGCTTGTCATATGAGTAAAAATTTTATTTTAGAAATGCTGCCTGTGGGTGCCATATTTTAGGGTTATTTATTCTATAATTTTTATATCCTGGCATAAATATGTATTATGGGCCTTCATGCTTCTTTAAGAAATCTTTAAGAATTAAATTAACTCAATAATATTTCTCTTATTTTTTTGAGCTATATTATTTAGGGAACTGTGAACCAATGGTGGTGGTGATCACTTTGGGTGCTGAAAAAAACCTTAGCATGTATAATATTGTAAAACAAACATATCCCCCATTTTATGCACAGGAAACTGAGACTTAGAAAAGTTCAACAATTTTTCTAAGATCACATAGTCACATAGTTTGCTGGTAGCACACCTGAGATTGTAATCCAGGTGTTTAGGCTTCCCATCTAGGCAGCCTTCAGGTGTACCACCCATTCCTCTGTCTGAACTAGAGAGAAACTAAAAGTAATGAAAATAAAAATAAAAACTAATACATATTGACTGCTTACTATGTATATAGGTACTGTTTTAAGAGCTTTACATAAAATAGTTTATTTAATCTTCATTACGATGTTGTAAGGTGAAGATTGTTATTATCCTCATTTTACATATGAAGTAGTTGATAAACTTGCTCAAGATCATATTCCTAAACAGAGCAAAAGTTTCATCCCATGCCTTCTGACATTAGAAGCTGACTTGCTGTTATACTATTAGCATATCCCCAGGTGTGAACCAATTAGTGACTTCAAAGACAAACAGAAAATGTGTATTGTAGATGCTGTTACTTGGATGGTAGAGACTGCAACAAGGGGATCCACTGAATATGCTAGTTTAGGCAGCATGGCTTGGTTTTCTAAGTTTATCCCTGGGTATAAATAGAATTTCATCAATTATGTCTCCATACATCTGACAGCTGCAGCAGGAGGACCATCAGGAGACTTTGCAAGCACAATAACTGCCTTTTTTCCTGGATGCTCACAGCAGACTACAAACCAATGTGTGCAGAAGAAAGGAGGCAGATACAACAAACTCCTAGGACTCAATTCCCTTCCACAAATAGCTAATTTACTTCATACAATCCATTCCATTCACCTCCTGCGCAACCTTTCATGCTACAATGTTCATAAGCAACTTGAACTCCACAGCCTGCCTCAGTTATGAGGCATGAGATAACACGGCTACTTATTCAACTTACTCACCTTCATATCTAGTTAAAAAGATTTAAGAGTGCAAAGTCCAAGATCTGAGAGTTGTAAAGATAGATCTATGTGATGGAATAAAATGGAGTTCCACACTGGGACAGATGCTTCTCAGTACTCCATCCTAGACGCTAGCACCAAAATGTATATGACTTTATCTGTCCCTGAGCAGCAGTCTGTCCCTGACTGATATATACAGGTGCTCAAAAATATGTGTTGAGTAAATTAATCTGAGTTGGATTATAAGTAGGAGTTAGGGGAACCAGATCAAAGTCTGGAACCAGAATCTAAAAATTGTAAGCACTTTCCTCCCAGGAGGCAAATAGAAGGTGTATTCACATCTGGCAAGCGCTTGGTAAAAGTTTTAAGTCAAGACAAGGGAATATTGAGAGTCAGCCATGAAATCAGGAAGGGAAAAGATGTAACGAGCCAAAACAGGAATGCTTGAAAGTGAGGCACGAGCTGTCTTAGCTAAAGAGCCCTGAATACTTTTGCAGGCACGGGCAGTGCCAATGATTAGTTTCCCAATAGTCAGTGAAGTGGGATCCTGCTATAGCTACATGATGTTGGAGGGTCATGAACGGCTATTTTTTAGAACACCCCTATTTTATATTATGGACCTATCATTCATGAAATCTTTAAAAGCTTTTATACTTCTAGATTGTTCTATTGTTTTGGAGAAAATAATAGAATCATCAATTAACATACTCTTTGAGAAGTTAGATCTCCTTTTACTTACCACTTAATTGTTCTGTGTCATTGAGTATATTATACAACTTTACTGAGCCTTAAATTACTCTAAGTAACATGGGAGTAAATAACACTTGAATGGATGGGCTTAATTTTGAACAGTAAACAGCTCAACCAAGTGAAGTAAAGACATAAGTCCTTATTGGAACAGGAACCTGAAATCTGATACATCTATAATAAGGCCAACCCAAATACAGCCTTCATTATTAGAAATGGAGCTCAGGTCATAAGTAGTAATCTTATTATAGTCAGCACTCTTCAGGGCACATGTGCTCAGAGCATGTGTTCCATTCAACTTGTCACACTTGAAGAGAGACATTAACAAATTACTGCCTATTAGCTGCTTGTAAGAAGGGGTCATGTGTTACATGTCTTTATCCTCATAGCACCACACCCAATACCCTTATTCAGTAAAAATTTGATAAATGCTTTCTGAGTGGATGAGTAAACAAATGATTATAAAACTATGGCAGAGTAGGTATGGGTATAAAAGCTGAGCTGGGAAAAGTATAAGTGAATTATTAATACATTTTCTGAAATACCCTTTTACTCCCAGAAAGAGAACCATGAAAAATGGATGAAAGTTATGAAAATGAAAATGTGGCTCAGTATAAAAAGGAACTTCATAACAATTAGCGCTGTCGGGAGCAGACTGTGTGTAGTGGTGTAACTGCACTGGAGGTGTCAAGCCAGGTGTGAATGACGACCACCAGTCAGAGTCAGCAGAAGGTATTGCTGCATTGCATTTACTTCCACTGGTAAACCTATGATTGTATGAAAGCTGACCCCCATGTGTAAAAGTAACTATAAACCAAGGACCTCTTGTCAAAGTATTAGTGGGGTAGAGTTGTATAGATTATTAGAAATAACGTGTGTACACATCACACACACACATATACATACACAAACACATGTTTTCTTAGAAACCTTGTGTATATTCAGGTAAAAAGGACATTATTTGTAGCATGCCACTTTGCAGAAGATGAGAATGAAAAGTGCAATTCCCTTTATTTTGTTTCTTAAGTTATGAAAGTAAATAAAAGCATAAAAATGTCATTTACAACATTGATGAAAACATGTTCAGGATGCATGGAATATGCACATGAAAACTGAGATTTTGGTAAGTGGATCTTACTCTTTAGTTCTGGAGTTCTTTGATGCAGTGTAAGTAAAGTCTCTGTGTTGAGTGACCGGTTCTTTCTAAGAAACCATTCATCCTTCTGTGCCTAACATTGGCTGAAATAGGGTAAACAAACTGATTAGACTGAAACAATTCATCAGTTGCTTGACTAATAGGGAACTTTCACACCTGAATCATCCAATTAGTTTGTGTAGATGGAGCAGGAAGCACATTCCTGGGGCAGCGTGAGGAGTGTGCACAGCCGTCCTATGCCATCCATGCCTGCTGTGGTCACCAGAATGCAAAATCTGGTTTGGAAATTTCGCATCTTTACTGACTATAGTAGAAAAAAAAATGATAACGTGTTTAAGTAATCATTTTTACCTATTTTATCATTTATGAGCTCTGTTTTGATAAGAAGCAATGGTACTTTCCCTGTGGTTGCCAGATGTGTGGCTAGATGACTTAAAGGAAACATCTTCCATAAAATCTGGCATCAGATTTATGATAATGATCTAATAACTCTGTGCTCTGCTAAATCTACCAAATGGCATTGTAATTAAGGTTTATTTAAAGGTTGATATTTGATAGGCATTAAATGTGTAATAGTTTAATCATAATGGCACTCCTCTCACAGAGATCCTATTATAATCCCTGTTCAATAGATAAGCACATTGATGCTCAGAAAATTCTGCAAGTATATGAGAAAATCACTTCCTTTCATCCCTTTGTAAAGTATATTTTCCTCTGATAAGACCCAAAACATTCTGTCAGGATACACACACACACACACACACACACACATACACATATCAGCATAAAAATGCAAGAAAAGAAGAAAAACTCAATCTAAAGAGCGTTGGTAATAAGATCAGAGTGTCATTAAAATTTTCTAATTGCTCCCAGTTGCTGAGGAAGGAGTCACAGATAGCTTCCCAGAGGAGTATCATCTAATTCTTCAGTTAAAAGATACATTGCTGTTATCCCGGCCAGTTGGATGGAGTGACAGGGAGGAGCCAGGATGCAGGGGAGATATGGTGAGTGTGGAGTTCAGAAAAGGCAGGAATGTTAGGGGACTGTCGATGAAGAGTGTGTGTTCATGAAGAGAGCGTGGAAAGATATAAACTGGGATGTAATTTGAATGTATATTATATAAAGGAGTTTTGTCTTTTATACTGAGAAGTATAAGAAGAACATCTTTAAGCCAGTGAACAGATTTGCATTTTCAAGAGATCATGCTAGTTACTATACAGAAGAACAGGGCCAGAGAGGTAACCTAGTAAAAAATGTTATTGCATTAATCTAGGGGAAATATGATATGAGACTCAACCAAAGTAGTGATAGTGCAAATGCAGAGGATGTTGAAAAATGGTTATAAGGTGACTTTGACAGGATTTCTGATTGATGATATGTGTTGCATGAAAGAAAGCAAAGAATCAAGGATGACACCAAAATTGCTGCTTGGGCACATGAGCTTTAGCAGAGAATGCATGACAGTGCTGACCTTTGAGCATCTTCCGGGGCTCACTTGATGCTGCAGACCATGACTTAGCAGTGGTCCCAATTTACATCCATGGGACATTTCTATAGCACCACTTGGGAAGCAGAAAAGAGCATCAGAGAGGGCAGACTTGTTTTTATCTTGGAAAGAGGATTTTCTGGATGGGAGTGACTAGAAGGTAAAGGAGAAAGTGAGTTGAAGTAATGGCAAGAGTAGGAAAGTGATTGATGAGTCCTAGACTCTGCACCAGTGAAAGAAAGAAGTGAAGAAAGAAAAAGCTGACAATATTGCTAAGCTAGAGATGCCACATGCTAAAGGTCTTCATAGTACTGAGGAACACTTGCAATTGGAATAAGGCAGCTCTAAGGATAGGAAGTTGTGGACAGAGAATGAAATGTTTTAATTTAGGATTTTAAGAGGTCATGGAGCTATTCCAGATGATGGCAATCTTCTCGGTTTAGGTAACTGAAATGGAGAGATGACACGCCTCATTGGAGACAATGAGGAGAAGGGATTAAGAATCTAGGTTACTAGGTAGATGGAGGTTAAAGGCACCCAGGATGATGGAAAGACTCAAAGTAGAGACAAAGATAGTGCACCAGGCATTGAATCTTCAGTGAAGGGGATGGGACGACCTGCAGGTTGGTAGGTGACAGAAGTGGGAAGGGTAAGTGTTGACCTTGCAGCACCATCACCCGCAAGAGAGCCGGGTGATTTGCACCACTGTGCAGAACTCATGGTCTGGGGATGTTGGAGGATTCCAGTCACCACATCTCAGTCCTGAGGTTCTTGGTCATCCTCCATCTGAGATGATTACAGGCAAA